AGGTAAGGGGGAGGTGGTGGGGGTAAAGAGGAGGGGGTGAGAGATCGGTGTGAGTGCGTGAATGACAGTCGGTCCGTTCTACAAACCATACGAGCCGTCCCTGTGAATAGTATGATCTCATAATGTTTGCTGTTACATCAGCTGGTCTGTCTATAATAAAATATAATTGAAAGCTTTTTTTTCTGAATTTTTATTCAAAACAATGTTCAACGAATGTAAGTATGGCAGGTTTCAAGCTCTAGAAAACATATTGAACTTTAAGAAATGGGATCTTTTAAAAAGGATGCTATGGGGCGAGAGGGGGGGGGGGGCAGAAAACCCCCAGCGATTAAACAAAAGAAATGAACAGAAATCCTAAACAACCCCAAAAGAAGCGACAACAACTTACCCACGAAAAAAAAAGAAACTAGATGATTCAGGCCAAATATTATAATAAACGGAAGAGAGAACTTATTAAAGCAGATTGATCGAAGTGAAAAAGTTGCTACGCGTTGGACAGCTGACCGTTTTACACAGTTAAATTAATATATATCATGTATATAAAAAATACAAGGGGGTTAATGGAAAGTGGCTGTTTGTACAGGTGGCCGTATGGCAGGGTGGACTGTTATATTATTATAGCCCGCACAGAATTTTTTTTCAAAGATAAGAGACAAGAAAAACCTGTTGTAATTTAGAGAAAAAAAGGTCCATATTATGCAGAAAGAAATAGTACTGGCTCAGCTAGTGTTCCATTAAAGACAACGAAACACAATAAACTATTGGGAAAAATAATATTCCAGTTGAAGAAATTGTCACTTACAACGAATTAGGGGCTGAAATAGCGTAGCAGAGAAATGAACGAAGAACGATGATTGTTGATATAATATTAAAGAAAAATAATAGTCTTTTTCAGATGCGGCACTTTATGATGGTATATGGTGTTGCTGATGGTGACAATGATGATGATAGTGATGATGATGATGTTCAACTGAATTTTTTTCATTCGGCTTCTTTAAAAACGGCAAGTAAAACGTCCTCATATCATTTTCTGCAAGACCCAATACGTGTACCCCACTTTAATAGAGGCCTACGTCATGAAAATTGGTACAGGGTACGTTACACAAGGTGAATCACCGTTTTGAGCCTTGACTTGCACAATGACGTCAAGAAAAGAACTCTTCAAATTAAGAAACCCAAATATTTTCATGGTTATTTTCCAAAACAATCATGTCTACTTCGTACTCGTCTAAGATGGTCTGAAAAAGTGTTGTGGACTACACACAGGGCACAGTAAACTAATCAAGCAACTTCAGAGGTAAAGAAACAAACCACAAATTAACCAATATCGTTGTTCAAAGGACAAGAAGTAGATCTAGAATCAACAGATTTGGTTTACAAATTTAACCCATGAGTTTAGACTATGACTCTATGACTCTATGAGTGAGTATGATACTACTCTATGGCATAGTCTATGGACTGTCTATGGACTAGATTCGGCGCTTTTTCGGTAGTTCCCACCCCGCAATTTTATTCACGGATTTGGGCCACAAGAGTAGGGGGGTTTCAGGGGGCTTGCCCCCCTGACCTAATAAAAATAGGAAGGGGGGTTTCAGGGGGGCATGCCCCCCTGAATTTTACCATAATTTAATTTAATGTTTTGCAGTTGTTAGGTTTGATATCTTAGCTCACCGCGAATCAAACATATAGATCTAGATCTAGATCTAGATGTAGGTCAGGCTCAAATAAGGGGGGTGGGAACTACCAAAAAAGCACCCTAGATTCTAGATCTATATAGATATAGATCTATAGATCTATTTATAGAATCTAAGTCTAGATCTAGAGTCTAGCTTTTATGAATCTCGGCAATCTTCCAAGAAGGACCAATATCCTGACACTCACTCCTCAGTCTCCTGTGTCGTGTAAAATAGCTCTAACTGTAAAACATTGTAAACTAGACTATTGACTTAGAGGCTGGATTGTACTTTACCGGACCACCCATCTCGGCCTGTGATTACCTAATTAACTACACACTCATAGTACTCTACGTGTGGACAAAAGTAAAAGGTAGTTCCGCGGGCGACTTCGCACACGCACAGCGCAAGCCTTATCCAGCGGCGACTGGCGAGGCGAGGTGAGCTAGAGGTGGTGGTTGAGAGTGGTCAGGGGATTTAACTTTGGTGGACCACCGTGTATCATCCAACAGTGGGGAGGGGCTTGCCCCCTGGTCCCTGGAATTGTTAAAGAAAACACACAAATGCGAAACAATAACATGAGCGGAGAGTCGTGTTTACATATCAATGCAACAACAGTGGGGGGAGGGGGGTTTCAGGGGGGCTAGCCGTGGCAACAATAATTTAAAGACTCACACACACACATACAATAACATGAGCGGACAATCGGGGTAGATGCTCACCAAGTCGCGAGCTGGGCCGAGGGGAACACAATAGACTAGAATCTAGATGCATGTAGATCTAGATGTAGATCTAGATCTAGATCTAATTATTTTCCAATCAGAGTGGCTGGCAGAGGTCAAATTAATTTCACACCTCCACCTCTGATTATCCAGGAAAGTTTGTGTTTTCCAATCTGGATCCTCAGCAATCTTCCATTTTAATTTTAGAAAGTTTTATTCTCATGCTGGATTCAGGTTATATCATGAGAGAAGGTTTAGTCTAACCCTGCTCTGAGCAGTTATTATCCTTTTATAGCCCAAAGTCGGGGTTAGGGTTATAATTCCTATAATTATCAGAACGTCCTAGCAAGGCAAATGTGTGAATAAAACATTCCAAACTTGATTTATACTTATGTAAATTTGTAGTCCCTATTCTCCTAGTTAATTTGATTAATTATCTGTATTTGGTCTCTATATTGTACATTTTAAAAAATGAGGCAGTCATGAAGAAAAGAGTTCATGAGGCAAGCAGTAGAAGTAGGAGGGGAGTTCAATCTGTAGGGGGGTTGTCAACATCCTTTACAGTAGTCTCTGCCTAAACGCACACCGTACAAAAGCACGCTTCGCTCAAACACACTCTTTCGTCATCTGACGGATTTTTAATTTAATTTAATTTAGACGTACAAAATGCACTGTCATTCCTTCTAAACGAACGCTCCGATCCACGAATCATGCCGACAGGTAAAGCTTGACAAAAGGAAATTTTCTCTATAATCTGCACAGCTTGCATGACAAGCCCTAGAAAACTGGATATTTGGTGAGACTGCCTCTCATGTCGAACAAAGAGAGTGATGGACAGCGTTTTCACACTCCAACTTCCCACAGACACATAGATCTAGGACTTGTTGGTGAAATGTTGGGGGGTTGGGGGACTGAAATGTTTTTTGATTGGTCACTGGAAATGTATCTTTGGTGTAAGAGAAGGTTTCTGACCGTTGTTTAGGTGACTGCATGTAATGATTAGTTAGACCTAGGCCTATGATGCATAACACATGTGAATGCTGTAAAACACTAGATAGCCTCTCTAGGATTTAAGATTAGTCAATTTAAGCCTAATCAGCTGTGCTCGAAGAACTTATAACGTACTTGTTCAATGAATCACAAGAGAAATGTTTCTCTGAATTTAGATATCTGTGATTCTGATGTCGTCAATGAATAAATGAATCACTGTGGGATCTTAGGGGTGGTTTTTGTATGGTAAAAATTATGTTCTCTTAAATCAGGGGGATCTTAACTCTTTCCGGACGTAGTTTTTTGGGGGTCTAGACATAATTAACTTGTGGCTCGATTTGGCTATGCAGGTAGTGTACAAAATAACTTCATAGAAGCATAACCATCACTCAAAACGTAACATGATATATCAAATTTAAGGAAATTGAATGAGGAATACTTCCCGATATGAAACAAGGATTAATTTTGAACATAAGTATTCATTAGAAGGGTTAGAAATGGCGATGGTCGTGAGGAAAATACATGTTGACAGAAAAAGTTATATTGACCAAACATATGTGCAAGCAAATCAGCATATATCTATCTTATCATATACAGGCCAAGAGCACAATACATAAATTTCTGAATGCGCTGCTTTTTATTTGAAAGCAAAATTCCTATTTTTGTTTTGAGATATGAAATTTATACTGAGTGCGGATACATTGTTTAGTTGATGCAAGACCGCAAGAACTAATTCACTCATTTTTCCCCAAACCCACACTTTAACAAAGTGAAACTTGATATTTTTGTTTCCTAAATCCTTTCCGAGTTTTTCAATAGCAATATAAAGTAATTATAAAAGATGGATCGTGTTCATACGAAACAATACTGAGGCACCCTATCACAGCCGATATATCGGTGATACGTCCGCTAGGGGTCTGGACTCACGCCGAAATATCGGCGATGCGTCTGGAAAGAGTTAAGCGAACCGGGATCGTAAGCGGTAGTGTCTTAGGCGGAGACTACAGTATATTTCTAAGCCGTCAAAAAATATTCCCCAATACCATTTTACTTACTATCTGGTGGATCGTTTATAAGACTTTCTCTCTTGCTTTGCATTAGCAATGGATGTTTTGTTATTTTCCATTGTCACTATCACATACTTCTATATTCATATATAATATAAATGAGTGTACAGCTCTGAACTTTGCTCGAGAAGTATAGAATATTATTGAATATAATATAGTATGTAGTAAATTATTATAAAGAGAAAATGTAATTTTAAGTGAAGTTAGACCTCTTTTCATGTTTCATTACACAGTATAGACTTGCAAGCCTAAACCTTGCATATATAATCACAGTAATCGGTACTTACTAGACTATCCCTCACCTAACATTAATATAAGCTCAAAATAGATCAGGATTCTGGTGAATTTTTAAATTGTTCACATTTATTCAAAATTTTGTAAAGCTGCAAGTAATGTCGGGTGCCATGGGAAAACCAGTCACAAAGTTACAAAAATAGCAATATTCATGGACTAATCCTTACAAGAAGCTGAGATAAGAAAACTTTAAGTTGGCTTTATAGAAAACTATCAATGGAAGCAATTTTTAAAAAAGTTGATCGAATGCAAGATTGAGTCAAATGAATCTGTTCAGCTGTTTAATTCTCAGGCCCTTAGAACGGACCTGTGACATGTTTCACATTTTTAGATTGTAATATTCATATATTAAAACAATTTAGTAATTTAGATTTCTTTGAATAAATTATTTGCTCCTGAACTAAAATTGTAATCGTAATTGTAAACTAATTGTAACCCCTTTGCTTTGCCTTTTTTTGTCAGATATTATGGCCTCCTCCAATCCTGGAAGTGCACAAAGCCGCACTAGCTCTATTGGTTCTGCAGGATCGAGAGGCTCTCGCACACCACCATCCAGTGCAGGTAAAACAAGTGTTGGAAAGAGCAAGTCTTCAATGACATCACAAGCCAATGCTTCGAAGCCCAGACCATCTGATCGATTGAATCCGAAAACAGTTGATCCGGTGAGTACCCTGGGCACAGATTGTCTCAGTGAAATGAGAAAATGGTTATTTTTGTTGTTTTGCTGTGGTGTTTTAGTAATATTTTAAGTTTTCCCCAAATATTGATAGTTACAATATTATTGTAAGTATTATTATAAGATCATATTTTCTTGGTTTTGTTCTTATGTTGTTTGCGAATGTGATGACCTGGATTTTACTGTTATGATTATTATTAAATTGGTATTTATTTATCTCCTTTTTTTTTTCATTTCAGTTTTCCAATGGTACGAAAGGCCAAAGTGCGTTTGCTTCAGTCTATGCCAATGGTGGTGTACCATGCAGGTTTGCAATGATTGTAATTTGTACCGTATCTCATTTTACTGTTTGATAAACATATTTACACTATCTTGATAATAAAAGCAACTGTTTTAAGTTGCTTTTGTCCAAGTGGGTTTATACAAAAATCATTTCCACTTCTCAGTGTAGCTCTCCATCATACATCACTTTTCATAATGACATGTGGGGGAGTTTTACACTTAACAATGGCTTTTTGGTTTTCTCTGTCAAGAGAGTTCAGGTATTGAGACTCTTTGCTAATTAGTGAGTTTACTTTTATAGATGCAGAGTATATTGTAATGTTCTTGATTTTGGCCTTTCAATTATGTTGGTAAGTAATACAAAATATAAAGCTTTTAAACATACATGTATGCATATCATTAGCATTCATTCAATTTGCCCCCATGACTTATTCTTATCTCCCCAGACTTATTCACGGTAGTGTCAAACACAAGCTGGCCTGGGACACTCCACCGGAGCAAGTGCAGTTTGATCCTGTGCTAGTCACGCTTGCAGAGGTGACAATATATGTGACATAATGATATCTTTACGAAATGTTTAACAAGAACCTGTCTAGGGCTATATCTCCAAATAGCTGACTAGTATCAATCTTAAGCTTAACTTTTTGACCCTGTTGAACTTTTAGTGGACTATTTCCTCCTTTAAAAAATTAAATAGATTTATATATATTAATATTTATATTTTTAATTGGCTTGTTTTCATAGATAAAAGTGTGTTATCTGTCTTCGAAAATGTAGTGTATACTTGTTTTGAAATTAAACTTGCTTTCTTGTTTAAAATTGTACGGCCTATCTCGGACTTTAACAGCATGATCTTTGATTCATGTGATTGAGGTAACAGAAAGAGCTCTGTTTTGAAAAATAATGAATTGTCAGACATCCTACTCTGGCGGACCCAAATTCATATATCAGCTTTTATGAATCTCTCTCTCTCTCTCTCTCTCTCTCTCTCTCTCTCTCTCTCTCTCTCTCTGACACATGCTTTGTTTTACTAGACAAATGACATTCTTGAGCTGTGGACTAAAATACATCTTGCCTTTTAAAATGGCTTTTAGAATTTGATAGCTCCGACAGTATGTTGATAAGGTACAAGCTTTAAAAATTGTGACAAATTGTCCGACTCTAAGTCTTGAGCAAAGTGCAACATGAGGTTCTTTGTTTCCTCTCTCCTGAAGATATGTCTCCCCCACCCACGGCTTTTCCGCTACTATTTTTCAATTAATTTTTTTTTATACAATGATGACAGAAGTTTGTTTTAGGGCATTACCCGTCTCTCTGCAGCCCCCAGTTCTTTTTGTCATATATCTGTATATTTTCATCTAGGGCTTGAAAGAGACAGTACATCCATACACATTTGTTTCCTGCATGGGGTTCAGAGAATTGCTCAGTACACCAGGAGCCTCTCAGAAAGCTGTTCCCCTCTTACCAAAATTGGCTCCACCAATACGCGCTGCACTTGTAAGAACTGTTCATTACAATGTCATTTCATAAAGAGTTTTTTAAAATCTTTTTTTTCTCTGCCTCTCACTGGAAAAAAAGTTTTGGTGAATATGGTCTGTTATTAAGTATTTCAAAAGAGTTTTCAGTCTGGTTCAAGTTTGTAATTTCTAATGGTACATACTATTCTCATGCTTTATAGGTTTGTGACAAAAAATTGTAGACAATTTAACTTAGGCTACTATTTACTCTTAATATGTAAGTCGTACCTCTCTTACAGTAGAAATCATTGATTGCACTTCAAAGTGTCAAAGTAAGGCAGAGATCTAAGTTAGAGGAATTGGGTTGGAGTATTTTCAATTGATATAAAAGTTAAATGTGCTTTAATTTATGGCACAGACTAATAGTAGTCTTCATTATTAAGGGTAGTGTATCGGGCATTCTGAATATAATTTGTTAAAATTTTTTCTCTTTTAATGAAACCAGTAAGTTTGAGAACCATTAAAGACGTGCTGAATTTAATATCTCTTGAATCTGCCAATTCAGTCTAACCCAGTTGTGCTTCATATTACATCTTTCATGGTGCGCGGAAATTTATTGTTAATTGAATTTTCCCTTTATATTTGTCCAGGGCCATTCAGACAGTTCTGTGTTTGAGCGTGGTATGGATGGTCTTTTACAGCTGAGTGCAGCGGTTGGGCCTGCATTAAATGTGTATTTGAAGACATTCCTAATGGCGGTTAGTGGGATTCTTTTTTCTTTCTTTTTAAAGACCCGTGTCATAGATTGGTTTTTCATTTATGTAATGTGATTTTTAAAGTGAAGTGAAGACCAATAACGATCTCCTTTTTTTCTTGTTTAGGTTTCTTTGCTTTAAAACTTTGCTGATACAAATATTTTTGTTTTATTTTATTATTTTACCAAGTTGTTTTTTTTGTATAACGATTCCTTGCTTTTTATACCTGGAATTTGTGTCAATTGTTTTGGAATCTCTTTTGTTTCAGCTGTCGAAACGAATTATGGAAAAGAAGTATAAAGAAAAAGTGACTGAATCATTACAAGCGCTTGAACAGAATGGTGGAAAGGTTTGAATATTTATTTCTTCCCATATTCCTGAAGCCAATATTTATACATTTTGAAGGGCTACAAACTTAAGTAGTATTTAGAAGAACATTGAAATGTTAAATCTAGAGGTCCCAAGGGTTATTTCCATACTTGTTTTTTTTTATTCCTTAATACTGCACAAAAACTTTTGTTTGTGTGGTGTGTGGCGGTAATACAGAACACTCAGTGGACCCCTATTGGTACTAAAAAGGTACCATTATCCATATTTCCTAAGGACATTAAAAAAAACCCAACTTATTGTTTGTTTCAATACGTGTTCTATATACCTATTGTACAGAGATTAGTGAAGTTTTATTTCTTGTAAGTTTTTACGACCTTTGAAATGAGTAATTCCTTTAGCACAAGTGTCAATACAAAACTACTGGGGAAAACATGTTAGCCGTGAAATTTGTCCACTGTGGATAAGTTGATGTCTTCTCAGGAGTGACAAAATGATTGACTCATCAATGGTTCAATTTAACTGTCAGAGTTGCAGAATCAAAGGACGTATCAAAATCTTTTCTCCAGTGAGGAAGTAGGAGTCCCAGCACTGTCACAAACATGGTTATTGCACTGCAATGTCACTCACCCAACCCTGGCGCTCCTCTCACTGTTTCATCAAGGCACTGTTAGGCCTACTGGACGTTCATTCGCTTTACATGTATTTTTACTAGAAGTGTCACCCATGTCAAAACTTTTCTGCGAAAAATCTGACTAATCTGCTGATAGACATACTGAAAGTCGATTCAGCCATTGCATATGTGCATCGTAGGGTAAAAATAAAAGCACTTCAACTCAAGCATATATGTTTGAGTTTAACCCAACATAAGCATTTGACTTTTATAAATACATGTATAAAGAAGATATAGTGCAGGGACCCAAGAAAAAGATCCCTTTATTTTAAGATCAACTCAAGCAACTTCAACACAGGTGGAGTCGACTGTACAAACTGCTGAAATGAAACTCTTATAGCTTGAAAGTAAAATTAAATGTGGTAAAGACTTATTTGATAACTCACAGAAGTATATAGCAGGCATAGGTGCAAACATAGGTACACAATCTTGACATGACACAAGAGCTGACAAGGAGGCTAATTTCTAAAGAGATTAAGAAGACAATATCTGAGAAAAATAGTTGAATTTAGATACTGCCATCGAGAGGTGAACAGGTCAAACAAGTTCAGCAATTTAGATGTCCAGGATATGAGGCAGCGTGGTGAAATCGGGTGCTCGTCAAAATACCGAAATCGGAGAAACAGGCATTTTTCCGCCAACTTGGAAATTGTTATCGATTTTTTTTTATGGCTTAACCGCGTTATGCCGACAGTAAAACACTTTACAATGTTTATTTTACTGAAAACCATTGATTAGGGCACCACAAATGTGTAATTTTTCAGTTTTCTGAGACTCTTTAGCGATTGGAGATACAAACTTTGGCAGCCATTTTCTCACTTATTTTAACACTGGTACCAGGCAACCTCACCTCCTTCAATCGCAAATATCTTGAGTTCTAATTAAGACAAATGGATGTTTATTTCATTGGAAGCAAGGCAAATAAATCAGCTTCCAGATGATACCAATAACTCCACATGCCGAAAAATTGACGAGCGCCTGATTCCACCGCGGCATGACACATTTATAATTACGAATTAGGCCTACATTTGATGCCAAATATTTCACAGAAATTAAACGAAAAATTACGATGGTTAAAGACATTTTGATAGAATAAGCTCAGTCATAAAAAATAAAAACATCTCGATAACTACTAAAATGACTGTGAAGGGTGGACAATTACTAGAGACAATGAAAATATAATCAGAGCAACAGAAATGTGGTTTCTTTGGAGATTAAATAATTTTTTGGAAGGAAAAGAAATCAAATGAGGCAGTGCCTTAAGCAGACGGTACAGGCCGCTCACTAATAGAAACAATGAGGAAGAACAAATGCAGTTTCTATGACACTTAAGTAGAACATCTGGCTCTCACTGGTAAAACTGAAGGAAAATCAAGCGGAACTTCTCTATAGCATTCAAGCTAAGAAATGCATGGTCTATCACAGGTCTGGCAAACTTCTTACCCATCTCTCTCAGCATCTTCTAAGTGGATTTTTTTTCTTTGAAATTTTTTTGTAGGTATGAATTATTTCTGAAGATTACTTTAAAATTCTCAATTTCGCTGTTTGTATTTTAGTCTGGGCTGTTAACAGTAGTTCTCTTAATAAACAGTAAACAAAAGCAGACACCTTTTTACTGTTCCGTGGGCATTAACATACTTTTCTTGCTTGTTGTTTCGTGAAAAGGGATAGCATTGGTGATAAGACAAGTTAGTAAGAGATTATTGAACCATGCTTTTATATTTGTTTTCTTTGTATATTTGTATAGCTGCCTCCTATTTATTTCAAGTTTTTCTTTTACTGGCTCTATGCCTCTTTGACTGCAAATGGTTTTTGTCCTTTTTTGTCAGAAGTTTTCTTTCTAAGCTCAAGTTTAGCCTTTGCTCCTCTTTTTTTCTATGTCTTATTGATTAAAGGCGTCTTTCTTTTTCATTTTTCAGGAAGCCCTGCCCATTATCAAGTCCAAAGTTCCCACATACTGTTCAATTTGTGGTTAGTACAGACCAGATTTGGTCCCCATAGAAAGCAATGGCTGTGATATGGTTGCTTTATAAAAGCTATTTATTATGATGCCGATTGAACCCTTGCATCAGATTATGAAATCTCAGTGGAAACTTAAAAACAAATATCAGGTCTTTATTTTAAAATGTTTATTTTGACAATGTTGTTAAGAAATGCAGGAAAGAAATATCAGCCATTTTGTGGAGTGCCCATAAAGTATTTCCTGAAACAATTCTTTAGCTTTGATGCTTGCTCAAGTAATACTTTTAAAAGAACTAGCTAATCAGGCATGTTCATATGCTATTGTCAGTTATCTGAGAATGGAACAGTAACTAGAGTTGCGTCATTTCTGATTTTAGCCTTGAATTCCCACAACAAATGTCATCTTTTGTAGATGAAGAATTATAATAAATTTGTGAATGAGGACTTTTATCCAAATAAGCAAAAGTGTTTCGCCTTTTGCGGCATCTATTTGGCTTCATTTTCTGTGACCTTAGCCTCATTTTGACTTGCCATGAGTGGAAAGTTTCAGTATTAACTCTTACATTACTATCGAAGTTGCAGAGTGTGTGTTCTATCTTTCTGTATTGTCCCTGATATGGTAAAAAAAATTGTATGTTATCACTGGCCTAACGGTTTGTAGTTTGAGTGTCCCTACCCTTTTTCCTCACTTTCTGGTTTTATAGTTTCTTCATCAGCTCTTGAAAGAGGTTATGTCAATGCCTGCATGCCATTTTCACAATTCCTGCATTTCTCGAAGCAAGTTCTTAGCTCTATTCTTGAAAGCGATAAAGAAAGGAATTATTTCCTCATTTTTAAGCAACCCACAGGGAGATGCACTTTCATCTCCAGTGTTTAAGCACCTTTTCATTATTTGTCTTTCTCACAATAATGAACTGACAAGTGCTTATATGTGCATTGTGAAGAAACAGCTGCTTCCGTGGAGCTGTGATTTTTTTTTTTTTTCGCCCCATTATGTGAAGCTTGTCTTAGTTTAGTGTGTAAGCTTGAATCATGCAGCTTTCATATCTTGATTTTGTGCTTCCTGGCTTTGGCTTACTTTACACTTATGAAGATTGATAAACACCAATCTGTTTGATACCTGTTGGTTTTGTATTAATACAGAATGTCACTGAAATACATTTTATGTGATATGGAGTTGATCTTATAAAGCATGTTTTTACCCAATAAATGTGTGAAATAGATAACATAATGCAAGAAATTAGGCATACAGGCATTGAGTTAATGCACTCGAGTCAGTTTCTTCCTTAGATAACTGAATCTTTGCAGTGTGCTCAGACCATCCTGGGCCTTCTAAAGCTGTTGGTAGATAGGTATTGCGAGTTTTTAACCAGCTTTGTTGAAGTGAAAGTCCAGCTACATGAGGCTTTCATAATCTGAAGTATGGGTCATATTTGTTGATTTTTCAAATGCAAAAACTGCACAATACACCTTTGTGCCTGAGGTCATTGTTGTGCTGTACAAAATGGTCACATATTAGTCTTTTGTTTTGAAATGTAGTATTTTTATTTTCATGTATGTACTATTGTTTGCTAGTCTTGTTTGGTGGAGTGTTACAAGTCAACTTTTATACTATTATCTTTAATCCATGTAAAAGAATGTCTTATGTATTGACCAAGGACTAACAGGACTGTTCCCTTCTCTTTTTTTTCATTTTCTTCTTTTTCTGTGAAACTGAGTTTCTACTTTTTTTTTCCATTTCTGCAAAAACAAAATTGATAAGAAATAACACTATTGATAAGGGAAAAGCAAAAATGTATTGTCTCTGTTTGTAAGTCTGTCTCTGTTGTTTTAGCAAGAACATTTTTTTTCTCACATAATGGTGCCGCTTTATTCAACTGCATTCTTGTAATGTTTTACTACTTCTTTAGACATTTTGTTAAAAATCTTTGTTCTGCTTAATGATGTCTTTACCAGTGAAAGACAATTTTTCCCTGAAGACAGCTTTGTCTGGTTATGAACTTTTGTTTGTGTTTGCAGCTGAGGGTACTGGCTCTCTCACAAAAATCTTATAAATGTGTGGCTAGGATAAGTCTTTGGGATAATATATAACCTTTTTTCAATTTATTCTAGTGTGTCATGAGTGCTTTAAGTTGTGTTTTATTTTTGTATAATAGCTATTACCAACACTATACTGTCAAATTTCCTTAAGTTATACCATCCCCCGTTATACCGCCAGTCTTGTTTAGCTACAGGAGATTGCTACTTTGTGCATACGCAAATTTTTTTTTCTTGCCTTTCTGTTCTAATCTAGCAACAGTGTCTTTTCTTTTTGTTCTTACTCTGCTTTCATTGTTCCTGCCCCTCCCAATCTTCAAAGAAATTTCACATTTGATTGGAGCAGATGATGGTTAGTGCCACAGAGGTGGTGCCTAGTTGTGTCAGAAAGAACACGTCAGTCCAAATTGATTCTCAACGCTTAACCACATGTACCCAATTATCCTCTTGAACTTTCTGAGAAAAAAATCTTTTACTTGTTATGCTCTTTTTTCCTCTTTAAGTGGTTTTGAGAGTAGATGGGAGGGCATTTGGACAAAGGAGTACACGAACTATAATTATAATGATATGTTTTGTACATTCTGTAAATTCTTCCATTTTTCTGACGGTCACATTTCTTTTCTGTCAAAGCATCGTAGCTGTTGAGGATAATTATAGCCTTTTGTCTTTGTTAATACTTTAGTTAAGAGGTGGAAAAGCTTCCCTCTTGTATTTTTGTGCGGCATGTGTGTATGTGTGAGTGTGTGTGTGTGTGTGTGTGTGTGTGTGTGTGTGTGTGTGTGTGTGAGAGAGAGAGAGAGAGAGAGAGAGAGAGAGAGAGAGAGAGAGGGAGAGAGAAAGAGAGAGGGAGAGAGAGAGAGAGAGAGAGAGAGAGACTGGATGTAGCTGAGAGAAAGAGAGGGAGAAAGAGAAAGAAAAATGGGAAGGTTTTTGAAGAAGGGTGCACATGCAAAGACAAGAGGCAACCAGAAGCCTGTGGAAAGTTTTCATTTCAAGCATCTGTTGGAATCTGATAGAATAATAGAATAGTGATTCTTCAATTGGTGCCGTCTGGTCCCTTTTCAAGTTTGCCATATTAGAATTCGAGTAGCATGTGGTTACATTAATGTAGGTCTAGTCGCCCCTAAAAACTATATATATATATATATATGTATACTTTTCTAAGTTTGGTAGAGTTCTCTGGTGCCCAATTTTGGATGTCTTATTGTATCTATAGTAAAGCAAATCCTCTTTGTTTTCTCAGTTATGGTTCAAAAACTTCTAGTTTTATTCAGACGTCACCAGGGCAAAGGTTAGACCAGAGTCTATGAGTAGATGTCTCTTGGTCTCTTGGATTACATTGACTCTTAACTCTTGAGTGTAGCTGCCTGTGACTTCCTAGGAAATGAACTGCTCAATGGGACCTGCCTGCTGGACGCACCCTTTTCTATAGCTGTTGTTTATTTTCGTTTCATTATATTGCTCAGAATTGTAGCTGCCTCACTGTCTTTCACCAGTCTCTTTTCCTGTGCTCAACAACTCTGCATTTGCCTGCCCAAGTAGCTAGATTGCTTATTTAGTTTCCTCTTGGTCCAAGACTTGCCCCTATAATTCTAAGTCTTCTAATGGTGCATTAAGGTGTTCTGGTTGACGACCATCGCTAAGAAAGCTGAATGTGATTTTGATCAAAGGAATTGAGCTTTTCGGTCATAGAATATAGCGGTTACTGCTGCTCCTTTGCTTTTCTTATCCATGTTTTAATTTGAAGATATCATAAAATCAATATACATGTATTTTGCCTTAGAAGAAGAGATTCAGATTATTTGTCTTCAGCTCTTTTTTGGAGGAAAAAGAAAAGACTTTGTGACTTCTTGAAATGGAGCATTCAGATGAGCTGACATAAATCACTTACATCATGTTTGCTTCATTTGGTGACTATATAGTCTCAGCAATAAAGTTACTTTTGAATTTGATTTTCACTCATCTGAAAGTACTGAATGTTAAAAGGTAAAATCAGTGCGGAGCTCTCAGTTTAAGGAATTTGTGTGCTCAAGTTAAATGATGGAGTTTAGCTTGCCTTACTGTGATATGGTACATGTAGTACTAAGGTCTTGTATCCCTCTGGCAGAGTATAGTAATTATATTAAAAGGGGGCTCCATAGCACAACATGTTTGGTGCTTGCCTGTCCACCCAGTCCACACCAGCATTGTATTTTTTTCTCATGTTTTCTCAAAGTGAAGTTGATTTTCTCATGTTTTCTACACCCCTGAACCTAGAGTAGGCAGGATCAAGCACCTAGTCTTTTCAGATAAGGACCAACATTTTTGGAGGTCCTTTGTAAAAGTTTGCACGTTAAAGATCCTTCTGTGGTTCTAAAATTAAATACAGCAGGCCCTTTACACCGTCATCTGGGCAAAATTCAAAGTCAATTCCTCCCTAACACTGAAGCCACTGTGTGCCGCCTGCCAGGCAAGGGATGATTCTGTGTTCTTTGTAGATAAAGCAGCCATGTACATAAAATCAACTTCACTGTGAGATGAAGATCTTGCTGTTAATTATTTCCATAGCTGTATTTGGGGTATCAGAAGATTGAGAATTATATTGAAAATCAATCCAGGCCATGGATGGTAGAAAGGAGATAGTCCTGTGTCAGCTGTGCCCTTCTCTTGATTTTATTACTTTGATATATGTAAATGTATAAATGTGAGATGGAAAGAGAGACACGCACAAAAGTTTGCAAAAGTATAGCATTATGTACATAGTATAGTGTTTGTATTACCTTTTTATCTGTCCTTTTTGGAGGTTATAAAGTATGGACAATATTTTTATAATACAAGTAATCTTCCATTTGTACATGAAAACCTGTACTTAAATGTAGATGATATTCCTTTTTTTTTCTTTTGTTTAGTTTTGCTTTTTGTGTTTTTGTCTCTTTCTTTTTTTAAAATTGGAAAGATGATGTAGAATCGAGTTCTGTTCCACTGACAATCTTTTTCTGTGTTTCTTTTGCCTTGTTTAAAATGGAGACACAGTAGTGGTGCCACTTTTACCAGCCAATGAGCTGATGTATATAGTTATAATATAGTGAGGATTTGCATTTTCCGCTTTATTTTCTGGGACAGAATCTCATTTTGTGTATAAGTTATTTTAAGCAAGCAGATTCCCACTCTTGGGGAACCTCATGTTCAAACTGGGGACTTATTGTGATACCTCTTCAGTTAAGTCTCCATGTTGGGCTGGTTTTAGCAAATTGCCGTCTCCACTTCTCCGAAAGAATGTTATCCTCTTCTTCTTATATTATTTTTTTTTCTCTTTCTTTCCTCCTACCCCTCTTTCTCTCTGTCCTTTTGATTGAAGGATGCCTTGTGGTGTTTTCAAGGAGGCTTTCCTAAACCATTTTATCTGATGATATAACTGAGACGTTCTTTGTTTTCTTATCATTTGCTTGTTTCATTTCCTAAAAGTAAATGAAAGTTCTGAAATAATGTTCATGCACGTGAAGCTAGAAGAATGTTTTATCTTGTTGTCAATATCAGTATTAGTGACAACGTTCTGAATTTCATAATTGATGCACTTCTAACTTCTAAAGTGAAATACTAGGAGTTCAAATGCATATATATATATATTATATAATATATTATAATATGTATATAATTTCTACAATATAGGCCTACATTTGTTTTGGGTGGTACTTAACATAGTATAGAGGTCAAGTTTTGGGGTATTGGACTTTGATTTGTGTCCAGCCTCAGCTTCAGTTCACACTATTTAATGTTAGTTATTATATGAGTGTTTTGATTGTTATTGGTACACATTCCAAATGTATGTCATCTACTTTGACAATAATTGCCGGCATTATTATATCTTAGATGACATGTATGTAGTTTGTTTTGATATCTCACGAGTGTGTGATTGCCTTGATTGAGTGTCCCACAGTTGCAAAGCCAATAAAGAAATCAGTATTATATTGAATTTCACAAGTGCATTACTTTGTCTGTCCAGTCTGTAAATGATAAAAGATGATGTTAGTCTCAGTGGTTGATTTTGTTCTTGGCTCTGCCTTGTAAATGTAGGACACTGTGTTCTTCGAAAATATTCTCGAACCTATTTTCCATAGTTCAGTCAGATCATTTCTTGAACATTGACTGAGACAATGGCATTCTTATTCTTATCAGAAGGTTTCAGCATTCGTGAAAATAATTGTATGGAGGGTGGCTTTTGAGTGCTGTGTATCCCTGGAGATTAAGTGTTTTTGTATTTGTTTTTTGTTTTTTTGGGGGTGAGGGGTAGGGGAGGCAGGGGGAGATGAGGTTCAAACGATGAAGAAATGGGAATAAGTTGGCCTCTCAGGGAACTGATTTTCGAGTCCAAAAGGTGGCATACTGTAGTACATCATGTAATTTTTTAAATTTTACACTGCTCTCATTGATCAAACAGTACAAAACATTACGGACTCATTCAGGTCTTGTTTCGTTCACGATCACTGTATTATTACCCCCCCCCCCCTCTCTCTCTCTCTTTCTCTCTCTCTCTCTCTTTCTCTCTCTCTCTCTCTCTCTCTCTCTCTCTCTCTCTCTCTCTCTCTCTCTCTCTCCCTCTTTCTTTCTCTCTCTCTCTCTCTCTCTCTCTCTCTCTCTCTCTCTCTCTCTCTCTCTCTCTCTCTCACACACACACTCTCCCCCCGGGGCAGTGCCACAGACTGAAGTGTCTTTAGACCGTTCCCAAAGGGGGGTTTGGTTATCTTTTGTTTGTTTTAGTTTTAGTAGAGGTTTTACTGCGCTTGCAACTGCTTAAGGTTATATGAGCGCCTAGGTGTGGATGTCAACAGAGAAGTCCTTACAGGGAATCAGGCTTACTCTGCTCCCCTCTCTAGCTTCAACAGCACAAAGTCTGCTTCGACTATCAAGGCACCCCGGAAATAGCGGGTCACAAGAGTGTGACAAGCATACAAAACAAGTAGAGGAAAATGACGATAGTCAGGATTAGGAAAGAAAAAGCAGTAATTCTCTGTTGCAGTTCAGGCACAGTTATGAGCATGACATTTGTGAATCAGCCCATTTACAATTGCAATTCTACTGCGCATAAGAACATGGGTAATGTCCCCCCTTTGGGAATGGCCTGAAGACAGTTCAGTCACTATCACCGCCCCCAGGGGTGTTGGTTATCTTTGTCAACAGAAAAGCGTCCAAAGGTTCACCACTGAAGCTCGGACGGTGCTAGCTAGACTGCACTGAGCCCAGACCTAGTATGGTATTTTTACTTGTAAAATAAGGAGCCGAAGAGTGGAGCCCAAGAACAGGACAACAAATTGTTCAGGGGTGTTCGATTGGGCTACACATAAAATTAGGCATAACGACGCAATGTGAAATCGAGTAACAACGGATAAACGGAATGCGATCCTTCTGTTAAAAAGTAGATTAGATCTAGTTCTATTTATCATCTGCCCCTTTGTTATGACTACCGGCTTCCTTGAATTCTGAATCAAGGATGCTCTGGTGTGTGGTTTGCTCCCTTTCTCCTATCAAACATCTATCGTTCTTATCTCTCCTCTTTTTTTTTTTCTTTTGTATGTTACTCTCTTGTCACACCTCTGATCTTTTGCAATTATACATACGACCTTATTGAGCTGCCAGTGCCGAGCAAAACTCTTATTATTAAACTAAACTAAACCTCGTTGGCCAGGACAGTCAGACTCGTCAATAACAAGTTAGCGAATATTGCAGGAACCAAAGGGTTTAAGAACCAAAATAAAAAATATGCTTGAGGAAATGAATAACAAAGTACTTGATCCCAGATCAAAGTCAACACGTATTTGAGTGTTTTTATTTTAGCTTTCGCCAAGCACTTCACTTTAATGACTTTTCTCGTCTCAAGAGCATTGCACTTTTGTTTATGTGCATGTCATTTATTGTAATTATTATTTCGAATTTTGGATGAGAACAAAACTATAGAGTTGGGAATTATAAAACGGGGACTGTCAAGTGACAATTACTTAAGATCTGAGATAGAGGAGTCCAAAACCACCATCATCATCACCATCACCACCATCATCATCACCAGCATCATCATCATCATCATCATCATCATCATCATCATCATCATCATCGTCGTCGTCGTCGTCGTCGTCGTCGTCATTATTACGAACATCACCGCGGGTAACTATCAGAACTGCGCACTTTGGAGAAAAAACAACAACTATCCGAGCCGCGCACTATCAAAGCTGGGCACTTTTTGACGACATCGATACAATTAGATTGCCTATTCCATCCAACGGTTACAATCCCATTGACAAAATTACTCTGTACAGCCCCCATCCAAGATATTCGTATATCTGGAGACGTTAAGCGATTTCCAGACCATTTCTAAGCTGAAACTAAATACACAGACCAAATAGAAAGGCACTACTAAGAAAGGAGGGGGAATGTGTAAACAAAACAAATGTACGCAGATGGACAATTCTCACAACTTTAATTATTATCCTGAATGAGCAAGAAAATGCTGCCCCAACATTTTAAACAGCGTCCCTGTCCTGTAGATATCTGCTGTTCAGTCTGAACCTTGCAGACCAAACCGTCGGAACGAGTCTTTTATCAGTAAAACATCCTTTTTACAGTGCATTTCAAAAATAGAAGACAAATCTCTTCCTGCAAGCCAAAAGAAATTTTAAAAATTAAAAAAATGTCCCTTTCCCCAGCACTTCTATCCTGAGAGAAAAAACAACAAACTAGATTTATATTGAGAAACTATATAGAGCTAGATCTAAGTGAAACCATCTGTCCGGATAGTGTAGTCTTTGTTTGGATTTTATTTTTATAATTGTATTCTACTGAATCTAAAAATATCTTCAACAATTGAAGGCTGAGAAAAAAGACTGACCTTAAGTCCTCTTTTATTTCGAAATAAATGTCCTTTTATTATATTATTGTCGAATAGAATAGGATATCATTAGATTTCTGTCTGTTTTGCTCAGGCAAAATCGCCCCTCTACGTTCGTTTCTCATTATAACGCTGGATGCACTGTGGTGTGTGTATTGAAAAAAATGTAGTTGGAAAGTCAGTTCTGTTTGCAGATAAGAACACCACAGTAATATAGCTGATAATTTGGACTTGGACATGGTAAATGGTATCGTTCTTAGAACTTCAATTCACATTTCGCAGATATCACATTAAATATTGGCTGAATCAACAGGCCGGGTCTTGAGGTCTTCAGTATCTTCGCAGAGTTACGTGTCCTTATTGTTTGTCTTCTTTTTGTTCGCAGTAAAATAAATTATTGAACCCTTCTAGCTTTAATCATTAAAATTGCCGGCTGTGAAATATGTGAACCTAATTATTTTTAAAGAACAGCTTTGCCCCTTAAGACGACATTGCGATGATTAAAGTATCGGCAGTGAATTTACAATGGATTTTTCTTGTGTAGCAGGAAAAAAAAGTCAAAAGAGGGGGATCAAACTGAGCGTTAGAATTTCTGCGAGAAAGGTAATGAAGAATACATTTTAGATTTACAATTGAAGAGAAACAGTTGTCCAGTTTACTTATACATCTACCAACTTGAACCAACAGTAAGCAGAAACAAAAACTTAGGCATTCGAACATTGTTGTGTGGAAATTGAGCCGTCTTATATCTGGGGTGTGTCCGTGTTAATTATGCTGAAAAGAGCAAGCTTGGCACTTCAAGGAGAGCAACTATTTTGATTTCGTACGTAGGCTAATTCAAAACCAATTGAACAAACTGTGCTCTGACCGTGGCTGTGTCACATGAGAAACAATTTGCTTCCAATTTTAAAAAATAAATGTGGCAACGTAAGAACTAGGCATTGAAAAACGTTAATTTGAGAGACAAAGTAATTGACATCCCCCCCCCCCCCTCACCCAACCTTACACACACGAGAAAAAGCACCCTTAACAACACCGACACACGTTATTAGAATTGGTTTTTTTGTGTGTTTCTATTTTAATTTTTATTAAATCAGAGTGGAAATATCATTCTCAGTTCATATATACACACCTACTGTTCCATGGGGAGGCAGACCTTCGCGACTAACAGCCTGGTTAGGTGAGGGGGAGGGGAGGGGGTTACTTTCTATAATTTCAGTTTTTACAAGTATGTTTTCATTGGAAAGAAAAAATAAATGTAATTCTTACGAAAGTTGACTTTTTTTTTTAGTGTGGCAAGAAAACAACACAAACATTTTAGCTCCAAACTATTATTATAATTTATGTTGTTTCTTTTTAGTGAAAAAATGTAGAATATTTATTGATTGTCTCATATAAATAAGATGGTCACGAAGAGAGGTTCGGAATGTTGCTTTCCCATATTATGTTTTTTTGAGCTACTGCCTCCTAAATGTGCTTACGGTTCTAGAAATTTGTTCGGTTCATTAATTTTCTAAAAGATGATGATGACGATGACGATGATGGTGATGATGATGATGATGATGATGATGATGATGATGATGATGATGATGATGGTGATGATGGTGATGATGATGATGGTGGTGGTGGTGATTAGACTTATCGTTAACCTCTTGACCTGGCTTACACTGAATTGTGAGCTGTTTCGCCTGAGGCTAAAATAATCTTTTTATTAACTCTCCCCCTCTTACTGTGTAGGCCTATAGAATCCCCCCCCTCCCCCATAGTTTTCCCAGTCATTCCAGTGGAACCTTATGAGGCGGAAGGTAGAGTCGTCTCAGTGCCAATACTTTCTTTCTTCGTTGGCCTATTATTTACTTTAGCCTGTTTGAAGATTTTGCTTTTCCTTGAAATCTGTAGTGTTTGCTGATAACAATTATATGAACTCTGAAAGAACAATGCAAAGGCAACGCTATACATACCTTTCAGTTTCGCTCCAAAATGCACCAGTTGCTTGAGCACGTAACACATACACGAGGCAGGGTCATAGAATCCCAGAGGTCACCTTTACAATGGTGGGGGGAAAACAAAATTAAAAACTCTTCAAAACACCAGAATTCTTGCATGGGACGGTCAAGGATTAGTATAATGCATATAAAAAAACCACATTTCACGTTTAATAAAACAACAACAACAACAACAACAACAACAACAACAACAACAACAACAACAACAACAACGAAAGGCAAGTTTCTGGAGGTGCACTGATCACATGACTATTTTATTCTCAAAGTTCCAAGGTTCGGAGGTAGGCCTATAGACCTCCGTGATGCGTTTCCAGTACCTCCAGTAAGAATTGTTGTATATAAATGTGGCGAAAATCGGGCAGCGGGGCCCCTTGTGCATTATGCAGTTTCTGGCGATTTTGGCTCTAAGCGTCATATTTTTGTTCAGGGCGTAGTTGTAGTACGTGACACCCCCGACCACGCTGGGGAGCATGCCGAAAAGGTACACGTCATCGATCCAGAAGAAGGGCGTGGTCTGTGCGGCCTCGTACAGCGGTCTCATCAGGTCTGACGTCATGATGACCACGAAGCCGCTGCAGTAGTCGTAAGGGAACGTTTGCTTGTGTGAGAAGACGTGTGGAGCCACACGCCACTTACCCGACCTCATGATACGCATCGTGTTTTTGTGCCACAAGTTGCAAAAGATCGACTTACGCTTACCGTTCATATGGTTTAAAAAGGAAT